TTATTAGAACAAATAAAGCCATTGTACTCAACATGAAGAAAAGCAGTCTCACAATTCTAAATAATTATGTTAAAATATGCTTTAAATGAGAAAACTTTTTATTTATTAATGTACTTTTGTGATATTTAAGGATTTAGAATTAGTGGCAATACTTAAAGTTTGTGTGTGCACACGTGTGTGTGTGTGTGTTAGTGTGTGTGTGCTTGTGTGTACTTTGTCAGAGTACAGCACTGCAATCAAAGATCTGATCCAAAGGGGTAGAAAGCTGAGTCAGGCATGGTGGTGCACGCCTCTAATTCAAGCACTGAGGATGCACATTCTGGCAGATCTCTCAGTTTGAGGCTGTCCTGATCTACATAGCGAGTTCTAAGCCACATAGGGCTGCACGGTGAGACCCTGTCTCAACAAGAGGAGGGATTGGAAGCTACTTTAGACTGATAAAGGATGCTTGAAAGATTCAGCTGCTGCCTGATAGATGGCTTTCTGTCTGCCAGCATCCACATTTTCTTTGTATGTGAAAATAATCAGAAAGAGGCCCAAGTTAATGGAATCCCAGAAATCCCTTCTTTAGTTTTTTAGAGATGTATTTTTATTTTATGTGCTGAATGCTTTGTTTACATCTGAGTATGCACACCACATGTGTGCAGTACCCTTGGGGTCCAGAAGAGGGCATCAGATCTCCTGGAACTGGAGCTACAGATAGTTGTGAGATGTCATGTGGGTGCTGGGAATGTACCTTTAGCCCTATGAAAGATCAGCCAGTGTTCCTGACCAGTAGCTGTCTCTCCACCTCTGTCGTCCCATCTTTAAAGAGCAAGAACGGGTATCGCCAAAACTCAGCAAACTGTTAGGTCATAGTGATTTTCCAGTAGGCCAATTTTAAAATTATTATTACTTTATATTAATACATATAAAGTAAAAATATAAAATTATTTTTAATTTATATGTATTTGTGTTTTGTCTGCATATATGTACACTCACCATGTGTGTGCCTACTGCCTGAAAAGGCCAGAGAGCACATAGAATCCCCTGAAAATGGAGTGATAGATGCTGTGGGAAACCACTTGGATGGTCCTCCAGAAGAGCAACCAGTGCTCTTAACCACTGAGCCATCTCTCCAGCCTGACAAAAACCATAATTATATGGGCCTAAAAGTCCCCTGGGTTCAAGATGTACATGAAGAGTTTCTTCTCCCTAACTTCTTTTGCCACCAACCCTTTTTTAAAAAATCATCTATTTGACTTTCATTTCTCAGGTGCAGAGCAGAGGACTGAGTGAGGGTAGTCAGGAAAAAGATTTTTCCCATGATTCTCTGTGAACTTGTGTTGATGTTAAGTGTAGACAGACATTATGTATCCCTAAAGAATAAAACGGCGGCAATCAGGTGAGACCCACAAGCCCCAAAGGCTTCCCCCAGTCTTCTGTGGGTCATTTTTCTCAGCATGCCCTTAACAATGCATGCATAAGACTTTATTGGTAAGGGCCTGGTGTGGCCCCCAGAAGACAGTCACCACCATGGAGAGTTCATTTTCCAGGAAAGTTGTGTCCACAGAAGAATTTTAGTCAGGCTTCTTACAAAATCACCCACCCTGGGAAGGCTGCAGAGAGGCAATTGGAGGATCAAGGTAAAAGCCACAACTACTGGCCTGAGCCATTGTAGTAAGCTGCCAGGGGACCTTTGGGTGTGCGATGACCCCATATTGGGAAATAGCTTCAATGCGATCACAGTGTCAGCAAGACTCACACACTCTGTGGAGCTCAGTTCTAAAGTCATGTCAAGATGGGTCACACAGAAGCGCGGCGAATTTTCTTCTCTGGGCCCTTGAGATTCTGGAGCATCTGGAGGAAGGTGCTTGGAGTGAAAATCAGGGAGGAGATGGAAAAGGAGAAGAAAGACATGCGTGTATGGAGTCTGAGGTTCGGGAATAATACAAGTATAGTTGTTTCCGCCATAAATGTCAGAATGTAGGTGATAGAAATGGCTAGAAGAATCATCTCCAGCTGGGTCAGAAGAGTCCATAAGATAAAAACCTTCTAGGTTGCTAATATTGATTCTCTTCATTGCTTTTTTTTCCCCTCTCATTGAGGGAAGTCAGGGCAGGAACCGTGGGAGAATGCTCTTTGCTGTCTCATAGGTTCATGTGTGGATAGCTTTCTCATTCAACCTAGGACCACATACCTAGGGGATGGTGCTGCCCACAGTAGACTGGGTCCTCATACATCAGTCAACAATTCCCTACAGACACATCCACGGGCCAGTCTGATCTGGGCAGTCCCTCTCAGGTGATCTTAAGCTGTGTCAAACGGATTAGTTAAAACTAGGGCAGGACCTCAGACTTGAGCTTTTTGATCAATGCTTGAACCGATAAGATCTTAGAAGGTTGGGAAGGTGGCTCAGCCCGTAAGGAAGTAGCCAGTGGAGACCATCTCCCACCTCCAACCTGGTTCTTGTCCTACCCTACTCCAAGAATGGATTGGGCAGAGCGGGAAGAAGATAACGTGGAGGAACTTCATTGTCAGTCTTAAAGTGTGGAAACAATGTGGCAGTCGATCAATGGAGCAGGCTTGAACTCTTGGTTGCAGCGCATGCTAAGGGTTTACAGTGGCACTCGCGGGTCTCTGCAGCAGCAGGTCTCAGCATGGCACTGCTAGTCTCAGAAGCGTGGGTCTTAGAGGATGGAAAGCAACGTAGGCACAAGTTCGTTTCTGTGGGGTCTCAGAGTTGGAGGCAGGAAATGGCTTCACTGCCAGAGTCCTGGAGTGAGCTCCTTGCTTAGGGTCCAGGGAACCCCCAAGAGTCTTGGAGACAATCTTCTCCCTCCTCCTCTGTTGACTCCTGCAGTCATCCTGTCCCTAAAACTGCAGGGAGTCTGATTTGTTGTTGTTTCGAGACAGGTTTCTCTGTGTAGCCCCAGCTGTCTTGGAACTCACCCTGTAGACCAGACTGGTCTTGAACTCACAGAGATCCACCTGCCTCTGCCTCTGCCTTCTGAGTGCTGGGCTTAAAGGAGTGCGCCATCACTGCCTGGGAGTCTGATTTTATAGAAGTGCCAGGGAACCATCTGGGTCCTGATTGACTGAGTGTACATATACAAACATGCATGCACATACACAGACACATGTATACACATACACGTGCATGCAGTACACAGACACATGCATGTATATATAGACACATGCATGCATGTACACAGACACATACACATGATGGCTTAGCAGTTAAGAGCAATTGCTGCTTTTACATAGGACCCAGGTTCAGTTTCCAGCACCCATATGACTACCCACAACTATTCGTAACTCCAGTTCTAAAGGATCCAATGATTTCTTTTGGCACCCATAAAATTCAGACCCACGTGGTATGCTCTCACTACCATGATATCGGCTTGCCTCAAAAGCAGTAGGTCTGGCCAATTTTGGACTGAAACCTCCAAAACCATGAGCCAAAAGTTTCTGTCTTTTTCATTTGTTTTCTCCAATATGTTTTCCACTGATGATACTTCTGACCACAGGAGTTGCACTCATTTATAGCTCAAAGCACCACAAACTGGGGTGGCCTAAGACAATAAAACCGGCTGGGTAGGTGGTACATGTCTTTAATCCCAGCACTTGGGAGGCAGAGGCAGGTCAATTCCTATGAGTTCCAGGATAGCCAAGGCTACATCATGAGACGAAGGCAACAATGACGGCAATGATGATAATTGTATTCTCTCACTACTGTGGAGCCTGGAAGTCAGCAGCAAGCCGTTAGGAGGCTGCCCTTCCTCTCCACCCCTGATTTTCTAGCCTCTGTGGGAGCCAGAGATTCTCTGACATTTCTGAGCTGGAAGCTTCATTCCCCATCCCCGCCTCCATCACTTCTTGGCCTCCATCCCGGGTATCTTTATCTGTCTTGGCTCCAAAAGGTCACCAGACTCTTTGGACCTCAAGGCCACTCTACTCCAATATGATGTCATTGTAACGCTTTGACAATAACCCAGTTTCCAAGTAAGGTTACATTCTGAGATTCTGGGAAATACAGAGATTTCAGATGGGCCCTGTCCCACTCAAGACTGGTCTGGGCCTCGTGGACTAACTGTGATGTTTGAGAGGGCTACTGGCCACAGGATCTGGTCTGGCAAAACTTTCATGTTCTACAGAGGCATTCTTAACATCACTGTCTGCTCAGGATCCCCTCTGTCATCCCTGAACACGAGGACCCGATTCATCCACCCACTCAGTAAGGTGCCCAGGACACAGTGAGGAGCATAGCCTCCTACTTACTCCGAACAATCAACTCTCCTTTTCTTTCAGGACAAATAAAACCACACGACGTTTTAAACTGATGAGTTCTCTTTTTGAGAATGGGGATTCTCCTTATGTAGCCCAGGCTAGCATCAAATTTGTCATCCTCCTTCTTCAGCCCTCTGAGTGCAAGGATCCCTGGTGTCCACTCATTTAGCTTGAAATGCAGTATTTTAAACGTTGCTAAGGGCTGGTGGCAGTTGGGAGAAATTAAAATTCTAAGTGGGGAGGCAGTCAAGGAAGGCTCTTTTGAGAACCGGTCACTCCTGCCAAGGCAGAAGGAGACGAGAGAAAGCTGTGCTTTGAGGGACGGTGCTCCAAGTAGATGGCAGAAAAAATATGGAGGCCCGGGGCAGCGTGGCTGGAAAGTCCTAGCACGCTAGTGTGGCTGGGCATTCATTATACGTGGGGGAAGCAGAGGGGAGGCAATGCCGATGGAGGGGACAGTTCTCCAAAGTCTTTCAAATTACCCCGAGGCAGGTGCCACCACTATAGCACTGCTCTCAGATGAGGAAATGGAAACTAGTGGCCTTGGCTTAGGTCACCCAGCCAGTCAGAGGTAGAAGTCTAGAAGCTTCCCTGGCCATACCTCCCCAGCAGCCCCCTCGTGACGTATACAGGGCTCCATGGAGGGAAAGGGGAGCTCTTGTCTCCAGCTACCTTCAGTCCCCCGTTCTCTGCAGGACCCTGAAGTATGACTCTTTGTTTCTTCCATCCAGGCCTGTTCACTGGGAAGTCAACGAGACTTCCCTGACCTGGCAGGACCAGCTTTCTGGCAAGGTCACGGGCAGCTTAATGGACCCGGTCAGCGGTGGCCAGCAGCTGCAGATCTTCCAGCCGGCAATTTACAGATGTTTCGTGGAACAGGAACTGATAGCCCAGTTCAGCCCCGCAGCTTCTGTGGAACTGCTGGAGGCTGAGAGACAAACCAAAGGCCAGGGGCGTTGGCAGCACAGGGCCCAGCTAGGCAAAGCGGACTCCGTCCTCAGGGGCCTGAAGTTGATGCTGCTGATGGTCTCCTTCCTGGTTGTGGGGGGGCTTCTCTGTAAGGTGGTCTTTCGTCCCACCCGGGGCAAGAAGAGGAATCTTGTCCTCCTGGTGAAATAAACTGAGCCCTCTGTACCCAAGGGGACCTGGCCTCTCTCCACTGTCCCATCCTTAGCTCTAGCTATACCTGGCAGCCCCGCACTAGCCCCTGGAGGTGTGTGAACTGACACAGACCTGGATTCATATCCAATGGTCACTTCACTCCTTGTTCTGTGCCCTGCTCAGCTAATTTGTTGGTCGCCCCAGTGCACAGATAAGGAAACTGAGGCAAGACTGTCTAGACAGGAGAACTGGGACTCTGGGGTTCCTCAGAGGGAGGAAGGGAAGGAGGAAATCTTCTCAGGCTGTGTGGTATGACTTTCTCTAGGGAGGTGTGAACAAGCATCTATTCATCCCAGAGTGGACACTAACGACAGACTAAAGAAATGAATCCACCCCAGCCTGGTTTGGTGAACAAGTGAGTTTATTGGGGTTCCTTACAGAAGGATGAATGATGTGGGTGCTTATATGCATGAGGGTGACTCTAAAGCAGCTGCCTCATCCAAAGGTCCAGCATGGAGACGTCGCTCTTGAGGCCCAGCATTGATGACAGAGGTTTCTATCCCACCTGGTCTCACAGCCATTCAGCCCCAAAGAAACACACAGAGATCTACATTAATTCTAAACTGGTTGGCCTGGTAGCTCGGGCTTCTTATTAACTCTTACATCCTACATCTTAACCCATAATTCTTTTCTGTGTTAGCCATGGTGCTTGGTACCCTTTATCAGTGAAGCATTCTCATCTTGCTTGCTCTGTGTCTGGCTTCCTTTCTGTCTGGATGACGACTGCAGACTGACTCTTTCCTCTTCCCAGAATTCTCCTGTTCCCATTGCCCTGCCTCTACTTCCTGCGTGGTCGCCCACCTATACTTCCTGCCTGTCTACTGGGCAATCAGCGTTTTATTAAACAAGGACAAGAAACAAATCTTTACAGGGCAAAACCATTGTCCCACCGCACAGCACAGGTGATGTCATGAGATCCAGCAAGGTGATGTCATGAGATCCAGCAAGGTGATGTCATGAGATCCAGCACAGGTGAGGTCATGGTTGGAAGCTGCTTTCCTAAGCTTTCTGTAGAACTTGTAGGCAGCTCCACCAGAGCTGCCTGTTCCCCAGAGAATGGCTACTGCTTGTGCAACCACGGGGCGGGTCTTGTGAATCATGGAACTTTCCAAGCTTCCTGAGCCTTGTCAATGCCCTCTGCTTCCTGAATCAGGTCTCCTTTCTTCTTCCCTCAAAGGAACACATCAGCCAGAAAGGAATATTAATAGCTGTACAACAGGGTGTGTCTATTGTGGTATATTGTGGCCTCTTCATCCAACCCTGTTTCCCAAGGACAAGATGGAGGACACACAGGCATCTCCGTGGTATCCCTAGTCTGCACTGTTCCTCTGACGCCTTTCCCTCCCTGTCCCTCAGGACATCTTCCTCTATTGTGCCACAGCCTCAGACTGAGCCACACCTCCCTGCATCCCCTTAGCTTAGACACATACTGTTCCAGGCTCCTGTGGTGAGAGGAGAACCCTCCAGTGCCACACTTGGACAAGACACTGGGCCGTGCTCAGCTGACTGGCAGGAACAGCTGGCTGTTCCCAGAAACTACACACGATTTAGCAGAACGCCAGAGCAAAGCATGAAATATTAATGCCTCTTAAGATTCATTGCCCTAAATTTGCACCACAGTGAAGTCCTGATAGGGCATATAGGAAGGGCTCCCTGGGCAGAACGACAGGAAGACAGGGTAGAGCTCCCCCCATGTACCACACACCGAAGGCTCCCCGTAATATCTGCAGATGCAAGGGTTCCTGCAGAATGAGAGAAGGTTCCTCCAGAGTCGTTTGGAACTGACTGAGGCAGAAGCTGAGAATAACAATGATAAAAATAGTTAATATGTTTGGCCCTCTTCATGTGTCAATATGCAAACTTTTCCATAAACATCATGTCCCACAAGGCACCACCAGGCTGCGGAGGCGATTCGCCTCTTGTTTTATAGCTGGAAACATTAAGGCCCAGAAGGGACAAGCAACTGGCCTGAGGTCACACAGTGAACTTGGGGGAAGGGCAGGTGATGGACGGGTATTCAAAAGAGACCTCAGGGGCTGGCAAGATGGCTCAGTGGGTATGAATTTAAGGAGCTGGGTTGGGCCCACGTTAAAATAAGGGAGGTATGTGTGGCCATTGTGTGTCTATAACCTCAGAGCAGGGACTCAGGTTAGGCAGGAGGGGTCTATGGGGTTTGCTGGATGCCATCCTAGTTCTTGGTTCTGTGAAAGACCTTGTCTCTGGGGAATAAGGTAGAGAATGTGACAGAGCAGGACACACAGTGCCCTATGCACATAGGTATACATGTCTGTATATGCATGCACACACATCTGTACACACACACACCTGAACACACACTTTTGCACACACATCTGTACACACACACCTGCATACATACTTGTGCACACATATATACACACACCACACACACTTACACACCTGTACACACACTTGTACACACACACCTACACATACACACCATAGCACCCTCCCAGCAGGGACCCCCAGGTGTCCTCCACCTGCATTAGCCCCAACTGTGGCAGCTGGAGAAGAAACAATAACTAAGAGCTGAAGCCTCTTCATTGAGTCAGTGGCCCGTCTACCCAGCACAGAAGATGCAAAACCAAAGTGGGAGGTCTTGGCACCCCAGGGTGATTGCCGTGACTTCCCACCTCCCGGTGTCCACACCTTTGTGTGGTTTTTCACTTGAATGTGGAGTAGACTTGATGGTTGAGCCTGATGGTCAACTTGAGAAATTTAGGGCCACCTAGGAGACACACCTCTGTGTGTGCCCACGAAGGGATCCCCAGGGACTAACTGTGGGTGCTTATCCTTCCGGGGAAGGCAAGCGTAGCACCAGCGTCCATCGCTCTCTGCTTTCCGACTGCAGATGTGATGTGACCAGGTACTGCATCTTTCCTGAAGTCGCCTTCACCAGGCATTACATTACAGAGAAGAGGAGAGTAGCTCCCTGGACCTGGGACCTGGCTTCTCATAAAACACATTTATTTTACACAAATAGGTGCTTTGTCTGTACCTATGTCTGCACACCAAAGAGGGCATTGGATCCCATGGGACTACAGTTATAGATGGTTGTGACCTGCCATGTGGGTGCTGGGATTTGAACCCATATCCTCTGGAAGAGCAACAAGTGCTTGTAACTACTGAGCTGTTTCTCCAGTCCCTTAGGTCTTGGGCCATCATTGTCATGATGATGTGACATTGCACAATCCTGTCTCAGACGTTTGCAGAGTCTGATGGCTTGGTGTCGTATACAGCTGATGTGGTTTCAGTCCACGCCCCTCAAAGTGCCACCTGGTCAAGGCTGGCCCCCAGCCTGTGGCACTGTTGGGAGATGGGGGAACCTTTAGAAGGGCCGGGGTGCTTTTGAAGGGGATTTGGTGCTTCCCCACCTCTCTTTGCTTCCCGGCTGCTATGAGATGAGCAGCTTCCTGTGCCATGTGGCCTTGCATGCTCCCTCGCCACTGGCTGGAACAATCAACCATGCATCGAGGCCTCTGGAACTGTGAGCCAAATAAATCTCTCCCGATAAGTTGATCGTCTTGGACATTTTGTCACCGTGATGGAAGACCAACTCTCTCAGCTGTGTGACAACTGCAGAGTGGTGGACTGTAGGAACACCTGCAAGTGGCCTCCAGGTGACAGTCAACAAAATCCCGAGTCCTCAGTCATCCAGCCAGCAAGAACTGAGTTGCCAATAACACTGAGTCTTCCCACCACATAGAGAGTTCTAGAACAGTCCCTGGAGCAGCTCCAGGATTTCCCTGGCTCTCTACCTCCTCGGCATAGGATAAGGTGATTTCTGACATCGTTAGAGTACAGGAGGTCATGAACCAGCCCTGGTAGACAAGCTGTGGGAAGGAATAACATAAGACATTTTCAGACTACATCAAATTTCCAGAGAGAGAGAGAGAGAGAGAGAGAGAGAGAGAGAGAGAGAGAGAGAGAGCGCGCCCAGGGTTCTTTTGCTTTCTGTGTGGAGGCCCCAGTATCAGAGATGAGGCTGTCAGCCACCAGAGCTCCAGCCAGCCCACAACAGACATGTACACAGGAAATAAGCTCGTGTGATTGTAAGCCACTAAGACACAGGAGATGTTTGTTACCAAGCATAGCCTGGTGCATCCTGACTAACACATGTTCCATCTAAGACTCTTACTATGCTTATCATTCTTTCCATTTCTATATGTCACCATAGAATTAATATTTTTCTTTAGTTAGCTAAACAGAGTTCTGGGTCAGAAATTTATTTCTCCGTGATACGCCCAACTTCTGAAAGAGTTGCAACATAGGAACTTAATAAAAGTACAACAACATTCAGAAGGGAACGGAGACCCAGAAGAGTGAATTCCTTATCCCATGGTTGAAATGGCCATGCAACAGTATAGCTGTGAAGTCAAACACACCCAAACCAGAGGTTTCAAACAGTAGTAAAAATGCATTTTACATGTTTACAGGTCAGCAAGACACCCCTCCGGGAATGCGCATGCTTCTCTGGTCAGCAGCAGTTGTGGGTTCTGTCTTAGATTCTTAAGTTTTGTCACTGAGGCAAAAATACCTGAGAGAATTTACAGGCTATAGCATTTATTTTGCTCCTGACTTCAGAGGCTTCAGCCCATGGCCTGCTGGCTCCATTGCTGTGAGGGCAAATAGCAAGGCAGAAAGATTGTCACAGAAGGACATAACAAAATGTCTGTAACCCTCATGTCAGCCAGGAAGCTGAGAGGAGAAATAGGGAGTGCGAGACACAACACGCCTCTCAAAGACATCCCCCCAAGCACCAACCTCCACAGCCACGCAACCTCCTGATAGTCTATTCATTTTTTAAAGTGTGTGGCTCTGCGTGTATGTGTGTGTGTGTGTGTGTGCATGCCTGTGTGTGTGTCTGCGTGTGCATGTGCCTATGGGTGCGTGTGCCTGTGTGTACCTCTGCATGTATGTGTGCATTTATGTGTGTGTGT